GGGGGGGGGGGGGGGGATAGTGGTGGGGGGCTCTGTTGCCCCTGGCCTCCTAGGTGGAGGACATCCAGGAGGGACTTACTGCTTGTACTCCTGGACCCTTCAGGATTTCGCTGTAGGAGGGCAGGATTTGAGGCGCGGTAGCCCTGAATGGACCATACTGCCCCCCTGCATGGGAGGGCACTGCCCGTGTGGGGCTCAGGCCAGCTTCAGGAAAGAAAAGAGCCCTCTGGTTCTGGGGCACTGTCGTGGCCGGAAACGGTTCCTCCTGCAGATGTGCTGAGGCCGTCGGCTCCTTCCCGGCCTTTGCTTGCCTGTGCTCAGGGCTGCTCTTTGGTGACTGTTGTGCTCTCTGCCCCGAGGGCTGATGGGCACAGCAGTCTTCTCTGCAACAAGGGGGGGTTGCCCTGCCTGATTCCTCCCCCCCCATCTTTTTCTCGGCAGATCCGACGTGGTGGTGCTCTGCTTCTCCTTGGCCAACCCCAACTCACTGCGGCATGTGAAGACCATGTGGTACCCAGAAATCAAGCACTTCTGCCCGCGTACCCCCATCGTGCTGGTGGGCTGCCAGCTGGACCTGCGCTATGCAGACCTTGAGGCAGTGAACCGGGCGCGTCGCCCCTTGGCCAAGTAGGGCCCTGCCCGTCCCACACATTCTTGGGGGGCTGGCTGGAACAGTCAGCCCCCTGTCCTGGACCAGTTCCTGCCAATTTCAAGGGGGTGCCTCCGCCTTTTGCCACAGTTGGGTTAGTCTGCCCTCCAAGGGGGGCTTCCTGGGCATTCCTTGCTAACTGGTGTCCCCTCCTCTCTCTGATTTTGTTTCAGGCCCATTAAACCTTCAGACATTCTGCCCCCCGAATGTGGGCATGAGGTAGCCAAGGAGCTGGGCATCCCCTACTACGAGACAAGTGTGGTAGCCCAGTTTGGCATCAAGGACGTCTTCGACAATGCGATTCGGGCTGCCCTCATTTCCCGCCGCCACCTCCAGTTCTGGAAATCTCACCTCAAGAAGACGCAGCGACCTCTGCTGCAAGCCCCTTTCCTGCCTCCCAAGCCTCCCCCGCCCATCATCCACATCCCCGAGCCAGCTGCCGGAGAAGGTCGGGGGCCCAGCATGCTCTTCCACCAGCCACTTTGCGCCGATGTTGTTTTCCGCCTGCTAGGAGGCCACCAGCTCTTTGCCCACAGGGTCTACCTGGCCACGTCCTGCTCCCGATTCTATGACCTCTTCGTGCTAGAACTGGGGGACGAGCCGGCTGGCGGGAAGGAGCTGGCCGGGAGGACGAAGAGCTTGGACGCGGCTGACCGAGGATGCCTGGCGGCAGCCACGCAAGCCATGCCACTGCGGCCCTCGCAGAGTGATGAGCCACTGTGCGCTGCTCGGGCGCCCCGCCCAGTCTCTGGCTGGGGCCGGGGCTTCGTCGACGTGCGGCAGGAGAGGGTGCGGGACCCGGTCACTCAGCAGGAGAAGCTGATGACGGCCGTGCACCTGGACGGACTGGTGCAGCTGGGCCCTTTCGAGGTGGTGCTGGAATACCTGTACACCGGGCGCCTGGAACAGCACCGGGCCAGTCTCATGCAGGTGGCCGCCATCGCCGAGCTGCTGGAGGTGTTTGACTTGCGCATGATGGTGGCCAACATCCTCAACAAAGAGAGCTTCATGAACCGTGAGATTACCAAGGCCTTCCATGTGCGCCGGGCCAACCGGATCAAGGAGTGCCTGAGCAAAGGCTCCTTTGCAGGTGACAGGAGGAGGGAGGCTGGAGCAGGCCTGGCTGGGGGCAGCCCGGGCAGGTGGCTCCTCTTCCCAGTGACTGACGAGGCTCTGTTCTCCCCCCCCGGCAGATGTGGTGTTTGTGGTTGACGATGGCTCGGTGCCGGCGCACAAGCCCCTTCTGCTTGCAGGCTGTGACTTCATGGTGGCCATGTTTGGTGGAACCTTCCGGGAGAGCTGTGCTGCCGAGGTGAGGCGGGTAGCCCTGCTACCAGCTCCGGAGAAGGCAGGCTTGTGCAGGGGACTCCCCCTGCTGGGGTTGGGGGACTGTGGGGCAGCCTGAGCTGCTATGCACGTGCCATTGGGGCCCCCCAGATGGGTCCAGTAGTTTCCTGGAAGGGCAGGTTGCCTCCTCCTAGGTGGCTTCTGGGAGGAATGTCCTCCCTCCTTGGGTGCTGCGAAGCCCCAACTTGGCTCCCAGAGGCCCAGTCCTGGGGTTGGGATAAGGGGCTCTGGGTGGCATAAGAGCACAGGGCCCACCCCCACCCCCAGCACCACACCAGAGGTGGTGCAGGCTAGATTCCTTCCTGGGGATGATTGCCCAGAGATTGCTGGAAAAGAGGCCTCCCTCAGTGGGAGGCTTCCTAGCTTGGCCCTTGGCTTGGCAGCTAACCCTGCCAGGCTAGGGCCCAGGGCCCGCAGAGGAGCAGCTGCCCTTCAGCCCCAGGCCCTGCCCCCGAGCCGCCCCTCTGCAGCAGCTTTCCTGCTCTCGAACCTCCCCGCAAAAGCCTCTGTGCCAGGAGGATGCACGGTGGGGCCCTGGCTCTCTCTCTTGGCTGGGCCCCACTGGCTTTTGAGGGGAGGGACAGCCAGCCCCAGCACCACTGTGCAGGACTTCTGGGAAAGAGGGTCAGGGGACTCCAGCTGCCACCAGTGCCAAGCCCCTCCCCAGCCTGTGCAGCTTCCTCTTCCGCCTGATCTTCAGTGCTGCCTCCGTTCCCAGGACCCGCAGAGCCTGCAGACGTGTGTTTCTGTGCGCGCCGCAAGTGAAATTCCTCCTGAATTGCCAGGAAGGGTTGCTGGAGGCCGAAGCTGGGGCTGGGATGGAAGGGGGTGGAAGCTTGGCACAGGGCTCTGTGAGCACTCCCTCTCCAATCCCTAGGTCTCCCTGCCAGGCACCAACTGTGCCTGCCTTCGGGCTGTGCTGGAGTTCCTGTACACGGACCTCTTTGTCCCCAGCCCAGACCTGGATGCCATGGAGCTGCTGGTGCTCACCAACCGCCTCTGTCTGACCCGCTTGCAGGCCCTGACTGGTGAGTCTCTTCTGGGGCTCCATTGCTAGCCCCTCTGGGAGGCGTTAACCTCTTGTGGGCACCGGTGGGTGCAAAGGAGCAGCCAAGCAGGGGGAGAGCGGCAGGCGTTCCCCAGGGGCTGCAGGCAAAACAGCTCTGCCCTGAGAGGCGTTTCCTCCTTTTCTTCCCAGAGCAGTACGCGGTGGATGAGCTGGTGCGTGCCAGCCTGCAGCAGGTGGAAATTGATGCCCAGGTGATCCTCTACCTGGAAATGACCCAGGTACGGTGCAGCCTCATCAGCCCAGCCCCCTTCTCCTTGGACTCACGTCTGCTGTGGGGGGACTGCCTTGGCACTGGCACTCAGGAAGCCCGAGCAGGAGAGGCTCCTTGCGGGCGGGCGCGGAGGTAGCGCGTGCCAAGCCCCTCCCCCTCTGGTGGCTCTCGCGGCTGTGAATTCCTCAGACAGGGAAGTGGGCAGCGGTCCAGGGAGGTGGCGGCGGATGGGGGCTGGTCCCCTGACTTTGCCACCTCTCCACAGTTCCACAATGCCCTGCAGCTGGCGGCCTGGTGCCTTCACTACATCTGCACCAACTACAATAGCGTCTGCCGCCGGTTTCCCCGCGAGATGAAGGCCATGTCCGCTGGTAAGAGCTGCGGGCCGAGGGAAGGGGCAGGGTGCTGCTCGTTCACAGACGGCACCCACCTTTTTCTGCCACTGCGAGCCTGCGCCGGTCTGCAGCCCGGGCAGGAATTGGAGTGGGGAGACTCTCTTACGGGCAGCGCCCAGAGCCTGCTCCCCAGCTGCTGCATTCCAGCTCGAGTGCCAGCTGGCGCCAGCCTGGCTGCTCCAGCTTCCTGAACCCTCTGCTGAAGAGGCTTCTCCTGCTTCGGCTACCTGCGGGGTGGGGGCAGTGGTGGGAAAAGGTGCCTGGCTTTGGGGACCTGCCCGCCTGATGGCCGCCTCACCGCACTTCTCCCCAGAGAATAAGGCCTACTTTGAGAACCACCGCTGGCCGCCGGTCTGGTACCTGAAGGAGGAGGACCGCTACCTGCGCACGCAGAAGGAGCGAGCACAGGAGGAGGAGGCCCTCCGGAAGCAGCACCCGCGCAGCAAGTGGTGCTTCTGGCGCCCCCACCCGGCCAGCCACATCTCCTGAGCAGATGGCTGCGCCCCACCCGTGGGGGGGCTGCCCTGCTGGTGCCTTTGCTGGGGAGGGGGCACCTCTGCCTTGTTTACAAGCTGCCTTTCCACCCCCAGCTCTGTGCCTCTTGCTGTTGCTGCCATGCCTTTACCTGGGGGGCAGGGGGCCAAGCCAGCACACTCAGTTGCTACCTCTGACCTTGGCAGTATTCTAGGGATGGGGGGGAGGTGGCTGTGCAGGTGACTGAGGAAGAGGAGGGGGATTTGTGGTGTGACTATGTGCTGTGGAAGGGGATTGGTGGGAGGATTTTGGGAGGTGGGGTGGGTGCATGAGGGGAGGAACCACAGGCCCTGCTGGGGGGCAACTAGCCGCAGAGAGAGCTTCCTCCTCCATGCTTGTGTGAGAGCAGCAGCGCGGAGAGGCTTTGTGGCTGTGCCTTGGACACAAGACGGGCCTCTTCCCAGAATCAGCCCTTTCTTGGGGTGGGGTAAAGGGGTGGGGAACACCTGCTGTTCCCTCTTCCCCCCTCCCGCCTGGTGCATTGAGGGAAATCGCTGCCAATGTATTTTAGCAAAAGGAGGGCCCCCTGCAAAACTGCAGTTTTTAAGCCTTTTTTCACTTTTTTCTACCCGTTCCATTTTTTCTCAAGACCTCAGCCAAGCACAAAGCGACCCGGGGTGGGCCGGTGCAACCTTCCCCGGACCGAAGGGCTCTGATGCCCACAGGTCCCTTGTGGCCTGCGTGCATCTATGTAACCACTGTGAGCTGGGCTAGCCCGTTTCTTACACACTTCAGTATTGGACTGTTTGGAATCTTTAATAAAGAGCCTTTTGTATCGTGTATCCCTGAGCGAGTCTGCTAATGCACGCCTGGCAGGATACCTCTCTGCTTGCAGGTGACGGCAGAGGGCCTTACTCTGTCAGTAACGCTATGATAGATCGGGGGGGG